CCTGCGGCGAGCGGGGTTCCCCGGCGAGGCCAGGCCGATGGGGTGGATGGGCTTCTGCTCACGACCGCCTTGTGGGGCGCTGGCATCGAATTGGAGTGGGGCAACATCGGGGGAGGACAGAGACCCCACGCAGCAGGCCCAGGGGCAGGCGCTCGGCTCCTGCGTGCCACGCTCCGGCCTCCCCAGATCGCCCCAGCACAGCTGCCTGCTGGATCTTCCCTTCTCAGAAACCTGCAGTGGCCTCAGACCCAGACTCCCTGGACTTCCCCTTAAGGCCCACTGTTCCCTAATTCATCTCGTCTCACCTTGACTGCTCTTCCATTCCCTTATCCCCGCCATACACAGCGGTCTTCCCTTGCCTGCGTCTGGGCTCCCTCGATCTTCCCCTGTGCTCCATCCCCCTAATCTGTGACCCACCAAACGTGCCCATCCCTCAAAGTGTAGCTAAAACTCCACTCCTTCTCCAACCAAACTCCATAGCCCCTTAGTGTGTCTCAGTATTCTCAGAAGAGCCCTGAGGTTGTGTCAATTGATTCTTCTCAATAGACAGAATCCATTACATAATTTAACAATTTATATACATTGATCAGGCTTTGCAAATAATTATATTTGCAAACGAGAAAGAAAGTTCTTTGCCGGACCCATGTATCCTGATTTACAATTGTGCGCTGTATCCTTTACTAGATGGCTGCATCCCCCAGGTGAGAGACGATGCCTTAATATGCAGAGTATCTAAATTTTTTTGGAATCCTGGTGAGAAAAAAATTCCGAAGTTTGGAGAAAATGGAAATATAACAAATCTTTTTGCACTCTTCACAATACAAAATCTCAACTTTTAGCGTGTCTGAAAAATATACAGTGCACAATTTGCTGTCAGCTCCAGATTACCACAAATCAATGCGATGGATAGAGTAGAAAGGATATTGGGATGGGTAGGAAACTGGCCTTTTGGTGTGGTTTGTCTTGCATTAGCAGAGTGAATTCAGGCCGAACTCAGGCAAAACTGCACCTCTGTAGATGCAGTTTCCCCATGTTAGATTTGGGTTTAGGAATAGGAAATATCCCTGCCCCCATCTACTTTACAACATCATGGTAAAGATCAAATATGAAAGGGAGATGGAGTTAACATTTTTTTTTTAAGTATTTTTTGTTCAGGAAAAATCCTCAATAAATTTTCTAACAAAAATTACTTTTAATATATACATATATATATATTGAGACAAGAGTTTCGCTCTGTCGCCCAGGCTGGAGTGCAGTGGTGCGATCTCGGCTCACTGCATCCTCCACCTCCCAGGCTTAAGCGATTCTCTTGCTTCAGCCTACGAGTAGCTGGGACCACCGGCACACACCACCACGCCCAGCTAATTTTTGTATTTTTGGCAAACACGGGGTTTTGCCATGTTGACCAAGCTGGTCAGCATTCTACAGACAACCTCATGTCACACCATACTACTCTCAGTTTCTATTTGTTTTGTTTTTTAACTGAGACAGGTTCTTGCTCTGTTGCCCAGGCTGGAGTGCAATGGTGGGATCATGGCTCACTGCAGCCTCTACCTCCCCGGCTCAAGCGATCCTTCAACCTCAGCCACCTGAGTAGCTGGGACTACAGGCGCATGCCACCACACCCAGCTAATTTTGTTGTTGTAGAGAGGTGGTCTCACTATGTTTCCCAGGCCAGTCTTGAACTCCTGTCCTCCAACGATCTTCCTACCTTGGCTTCCTACAGTGTTGGGATTACAGGCGTGAACCACCTAGCCCAGCCAGTTTCTGTTATTCTAAGGCTTTTTTATTGCCTTTACTTTCTTGTGAAGAAAAATTACCTGAGGTGAGAGGATCACTTGAGCCCAGAGGTTTGAGACTAGCCTGGGAAAGATGACAAGACTCCATCTCTCTAAAAAAACACAGCCTGGAGTATAGCGGTACGATCTCAGCTCACTGCAACCTCTGCCTCCTGGGTTCAAGTGATTCTCCTGCCTTGGCCTCCCGAGTAGCTGGGATGACAGGCGCCCTCCACGATGCCTGGCTAATTTTTGTATTTTTAGTAGAGACTGGGTTTCACCATGTTAACCAGGCTGGTCTTGAACTCATGACCTGAAGTGATCTGTCAGCCTCGGCCTCCCAAAGTGCTAGGACTGCAGACATGAGCCACCGCACCCAGCCAAAAAAAATTTTTTTTAATTAACTGGGTGTGCTGATGTGCACCTGTAGTCCCAGCTACTTGGGAAGCTGAGCTGAGGCAGGAGGATCATTGGAGGCCAGCAATTCGAGGCTGCAGTGAGCTGTGATTGCATCACGTCACCCACCCTGGGTGACAGAGTGAGACCCTGTCTCAAAAACCCGCACAGACACCTTTACTCCCCCAAACCCCACTTATTCACTCTGATGGCACACGGGTGATGAGTTCCTGCATGTCAGGCACTGTGCTAAGTACCTGGGCACCTGTTTCCCCACATGCATGGGCTTTACATATGTATTTGCACACACCTTACGCATATAACCATGTGTAACCCCCATGGATTCAGATGATACATCCACTTACCCTTAAAAACACTCCATTCACGCCCCTCACTTTATCTGTTTATCCTGGTCCCTGATTGTCCTTTCTCCATTTTCTGTTTCTGTTTCTCTATCATCTTATGGCAGGCAACGTGGAGATGGTGAGGCTTGTGAAACAGCACAATTTTGAGGCAGATTCTGGCATATTACTTCACATTTATCTTTAAAACAGACCTCCCTCTTCCAGGCAAGAGCTCTGGGTTTCTCCGGGGAAGGGTGGAAGAGGGACACAGGGTTGGGTGGGTGAACAGGAGTGGCCTTAGTTGGGTCAGGTTGCTCAGTTGCTCAAAGACCGTGGACTGCAGACTCTCCCTTTCTCCCCAGGGCCCAGTTTTTTCCCTTTCAAAACCTGCTCTCTACCTGCGAGATGGCTCACATCTCTAATGCCAACACTTCGGGAGGCTGAGGCAGGAGGATGGAATGAGGCCAGGAGTTTGAGACCAGCCTGGGCAACATAATGAAACTTCATCCTTACAAAAAAAATTTTTTTCAATTAGTCAGACATGGTGGCATGTGCTTGTAGTCCCAGCTACTCAGAAGGCTGAAGCGGGAGGATTGCTTGAGCCCAGGAGGTCAAGGCTGCAATGAACTATGATCGCGCTACTGCACTCCAGCCTGGGTGCCAGAGTGTCTCAAAAAAAAAAAAAAATTGGGTAGATGTGGTGGCTCACGCCTGTAATCCCAGCACTCTGGGAGGCTGAGGCAGGCAGATCACTTGAGGTGAGGAGCACAAGATCAGCCTGGCCAACACGGTAAAACTCTGTCTCTACCAAAAATACAAAAATGAGCCAAGCATGGTGGTGTGTGCCTGTAGTCCCAGCTACTCAGGAGACTAAGGCAGGAGAATTGCTTGAACCTGGGAGGTGGAGGTTGCAGTGAGCCGAGATGGCACCACTGCACTCCAGCCTGGGCAACAGAGCGAAACTCCATCTCAGAAAAAAAAAAAAGATTGAAAACAACAAAAAAAACCTGTTCTCAAGCAAGATGTGAAACTCCTTCGAAAACCCCAGAAGTAAAACATAAAAATTAAAGGACCTCTGCTCTGAAGAGGACACTAGAAACAGCAAAATGTGGTAGAAAGGGCTCAGGGAGTCAAGGACACGTTCAGGTTTCTCTAAAGACAGGTCCAAGCGGGAGGCTCAAGTCCACACTTCCTGGAGGAGGAAATCACTTTCTGGTGAAGCCAAGAGGAGGTGGCAGCCTTATCATTCAGGAAACCTTTGTGCCCGCCTCCACTGGAGCCCTCAGGTATCTGAGGCAGCCGCGTGGATGCCCAGGGGAAGGAGGCATTGAGGTGCTGAGGAGAGAGCAGTTCTTTAAGTTTCAGAGGACACCACGCTGGCCTGGGCTTCCTGGGTGGCTGAGAGCAACTCAGCCTCAGCCCCAAAGAAGGTCCTGGGGCATCCACCTAACACACCGGTGGGCAGTTTCTTAATTTCCAGTCTCTCCCCAAGAAACTTACACATGAGTTCACTCTACCAGATAAAAGGAGGACGAAGAGACTAACCTAGCTGGAGACCATGAGAAAGCACGCGGTGTTAAAGAGAGATCGGAACTTTATTGAGACTGATGAAATCAGAAACGAAAGAACACTGGAAAGGTTCAGCCACTGTCCAGGCAGACATCCTTCCAGACACTCCTCTTGGGGGAATCTCTGGATCCTTAAGTTTCCCCCAGTTGCTAATCCCCCACCCCAAAGAGTCAGAATTCTGCTTAAAGCCCCTCCACGGAGCTGGCCAGAAACCAGACACTGAATATCTGTGCGGGACTGATGGGCAGGCCTGTGAGCAGCAGAGACGAGAAGTCGGAGAAGGAACACGAAAAGGAAAACAGATACCTGACGAAAAGAAAAGCCCAAGGCAGGGAGAGCACGCTGATAACGTAGCCCCCTAAAAATATAAATATTGCATGAATGTATTAGCCTCATCCCAGCCATTTCCCCCAAAGCACTGGTGACATCAACAGCTATGACAATGCCCACACAGTTGTGCGTGTTTTTTTGTTTTTGTTTTTCCCCTGACTACACAGAAAAACAGATCTGCCAAAGCAGCTCACAGCATGGAGGAGCAGGCCGGGGAAAGTGGGAGGGCCCATCCCCCAAGAGGGCAGACGGTACAGAGATGAGGTGAGGGGTTCTGGGGTTTGCGGAGGGTGGTTAATGAGAAGCGGGACAGATTCCATCTCATCAGCCCCTATCACAGGCTCCATGGATGCCCCTTGCAGAACTCACTTTTCTTTCCTGGTTGACTTGTTCCTTGGAAACATTGTCCTGAGTGCCCTGGAACCTCGGGTGTTCTTGTGGAAGGTTCCAGGCCCTCCACAAAGCCAAACGCAACGGCCCCTGTGACAGCATGCACCAGACTGATAACGATTCTAAGAACCAGGAATTCCTAACTCAAGGTTCTCTGCGTAGACCTAACCTGACCGCGAACTGGCTTACCCTGCCTGACCTCGGAGTGCCTCTCCCTCTGCCTGCCTTTCCACTGTCCTTCTGCTCCAGGATGACTTCCTGGTGCTGAGCTGGTGCATCCTGACTCCTGCCTTGTGGGTAAGGCCCCCAGGACAGCTTGTTCCCAAGAGAAGCGGCTGGCTGTGCACAAAGGAGTCCCTCGAGGCAGCCCGGGCTGGGTCTCCTGGGCGTGCACAGACTGTGCACCACGCACATTTCACCATCCAAAGGCTGCTTCTTCCCTGCGGGGCCTGCTCCTCTGCTCCCCACCACCTGCTGCAGAGCCGTGCATGCTATAGCCTTGCAAGACTGTTACAAGCTCTCTACTCCCTCGAGTCTATGTGATCTCCCTAATATCTCTTGGCCAACATACACACATATTCACACTCATCGGTACTGAAGGCCCTGGCTTTCCTGCGGTGTGTTCAGTGGACATCTGCGTCAAGGTCAGGCGGGAAGGTCAATGTTAAGCCTTGGTGGCCGCCGACACTGAGTGGCTGGTGCTGGTTCTGACTCCTAGGAAATTGCTCCGAGTTTTAAGTGTTGATGCATCAGGGAATGGAGAAGAAAGGAAACGAAAAGCCGTGATGTGGAAACCGCGAAGGAGCAACTCCGCTGCTGAGTGTTTCCACAGGGGAGTCGTGGAACAGCCTCCTCTGAAATTTGGGAGAGACTGGCGGCCTAAGGAAAAGGAGCAAGGTCTCCACTGTCCTCTCTGAAACCCAGCGCCTTTGGGATCTGAGTTTTCCAAGACATGCAATAGACAAAGACACACTGCAAACCAATTAACCCTCTGAGCCCTTCCACGACCTTCACTAAAGTAACTTCCAAGAGTTAATTACCTGGATACACCAACCAGTCCCCTCCTCCTGGGGATCGTGCCCCTGAGCTTTGAGGAACACACCAGAGAAGTGGCAGTGGGGGAGGCAGATCCTCGTCCTTCCTGGGAACTCCTGTTCTTACTTGTCTAGTGTCCTAAACCACTGCCCCACCCCTTGAGGAAACCAGGAGCAAGTCCTGGGGATTGGCTCAAAACCCAGGTGGAGGCCGGGTGCGGCAGCTCATGCCTGTAATCCCAGCACTTTGGAAGGCCGAGGCATGTGGATCACTTGAGGTCAGGAGTTTGAGGCCAGCCTGGGCAACATGGTGAAGCCCTGTTTCTACTAAAAATACAAACATTAGCTGGGCGTGGTAGTAGGCCTATAATCTCAGCTACTCGGGAGCCCGAGGCAGGAGAATCGCTTGAACCCAGGAGGCGGAGGTTGCAGTGAGCTGAGATGGCGCCACTGCGCTCCAGCTTGGACGACAGAGCGAGACTCCGTTTCAAAAAAAACAAAAACAAACCCAGGTATATTCAGACCCAAGAGATTGTTCACTGTTGAAAGTCAGCCCAAAGTTAAGAGGCAGCCAAGGGAACAAACGCGAGACTGTGGGTGTGGAAAGAAGCCAAAAGGGACCTGACAATCTCTACGACTCAGGCCTTCGCTGTTTTCCCAGCTCCCAGGGGACAAGGAATTTCAGCTGCTTTTCGCTTTTTTGACCCTCACCGATTGAAGACACACTACAATTTAGCTGCTCTCTGTCCTTCCAAGACAGGACCCAGGAAAAGCAGGTGGAGGCTGACTTGCCTCAATGAGGCCTCCTCATTGAAGCGACAAGACAAGCACGCTAGAATTCACAGTTTCCACTCTCCTCCCTAGACCCACGCACCTGCCCCGACCCCTGGCCTCAATGAACTCCCAAATCTCCACTATGTAATAATTCCTGCCACTGTGGCTCAAAGGGTTAATAAACCGGGACTTCTCAGACAGGACACAAGCTCATTCACCAACAGGAACCCAAGAACCGCTATACCACCTAGTGCTTCCTGTAGCGATTTTTTGGGGTTTCGCTACACCCTGTTTTGTCACAGTTGAGAGCACCTGGATTCTTCCCTAGCCCGAGGCTACCCAGGAGGCCCGGAAGCTCCTGAGTGATGGCCCGCTCAATCTTCTCCAGAAAGCAACCTCCCATGTAGGAGCACTGCTGGGAGAGCAGTTTGAAACTGGAAATGGGATTGATGCCAAAGAAGTCCTTATAGGCCTCACGGTTGGGAAGGTCAAATTTGCTGACATTGGTCTTTGCCAGGATGGTCTTGAAGATGTAGAATTTATCAGGATCTTCCACAATGTCCTTAAAGACCAGTTCTCCATCACTGAAGAAGGTCATTTTGTCCTTGTAAGTCTGCAGGTAGCGGTCAACCAGGAGGGCGTGGATGCGGACCCGGATGGCGTGCTGGCGGATGAAGGCAATCTTGTTCTCCAATCTGTTCTCGATCACCTGATTCAGGTCTTCCAGGAGGGAGATCTCTTCTTGGAGGAACAGTTCCTGATGGGTGTCTGGCTTATACTCTTGTGGCCAGAAGGAGCTGACGTAAACCCTTGGGGGCTCTGTGACATTGATGAGAGGGGCCAGGCTCCAGAAGAGGGCCCCGTAAACCCGCATGAGCATTTGGGTGGCCAGATTGTCAGCCTTGTTCAGGATGATCCTTATCTGGGACTCACGCCCCTTCAACTGGCGGAAGAGCATCTCCAGCTCCAGACCCACATCCAGCTTGGTTGGGTCAAAGACGACAAAGATGAGGTCAGCTCTGTCGATGAACCACTGGCACACGTCGTTGAAGGGATATCCTTTGGGAGACAGAAGCGAGAAGTCAAACTGAGTAGATCTCCCTCAAAGCCCGCACACCTCCTTTCAGAACTGAACCATTCTGGGGGTTGAAAGAAGGAATAGCACTACGGATTTTCTGGGTGTCTAAAGACTATTAAAAAGTCAATGATATAACCTGTCCCTTGCCAACCTTCAACCAAGAACAACCTGATCCTTGTTTTTCTTGTTGGTTTGTTTTTTGAGACAGGGTCTCACTCTGTCGCCCAGGTGGGAGTGCAGTGGCATGATGACAGCTCACTGCAGCCTCAACCTCCCGGGTTTAAGAATCCTCCCACCTCAGCCTCCCAAAGTGGTGGCATGAGCCACCACATCCCACCTGATCATTGTTTTAATCTACTGTGAAATCCAAGTTTCCAAGAAAGCTAAATACCTGTTCAAAATGGAGATTGTCCTATTGCCTAAAAGGACCTGGGGCTATGGCAAAGATGCTGAGGGAGAGAAATGAGGAATTAGAAGAACATGAAAGAATGAATGCATTATTTAGGGGGAAGGAGTGTGGGCTTGGCCTTGAGACCTGGACTAGAATTTGAGCTTTGCCCCTGGCCAGCTGTATATTAAATGCCTCTAAGCTCTACTTTTTTAGCTCCAAAATGACAAGAACAATATCAACATCTGAGCTGATATAAAGATTACCATGTTGCTGTAAATATAGGAGAGCACCTAAAATTCCAGTCATACAGCTGGTGCAGAATACATTTTAATTCCATTAGCTTCTTATTTCCTAGTTTTCTTTGCAAATAAGGAAACTGAGGAGATGAGGACTAACTATCTTAAAAACACTGAAATCTTTTTTTTACAATAATGTATAAAATTATCCAATGTGTAGTAGGGGTACAATTTACTATTATAATTATTAACATTATTAATATTACTAATACTACTACAAATGTTGTTATACCATAATAATATAATTAAATATACTATAATATTACTAATATTACTACTATTATTAATTGCTTCTAATATTACTGCTAATATCATTACTACAGGATCTATTTATAACCACAATTGGACTTGTAACCATAAACTGAGATCCACCGTCTGGTCACATATTCCCACACTGCTCTGTTCAGGACTCTCTGCAGATAGCCTTGCCTCATGGCAGGACTCAGTGGTCTACTCCCCAGCCGCATGCCTGGTAGCATCTGGCTTCTAGTCTTGTGGCCTGGTTGTCAGCCTTGTTCATTAAATACATTCACACTGTTGTACAACCATCACCGCTATCCCTCTTTGGAACTTATTCATCTTTCCAAATTGAAAACTCTGTACCCATTTAACAGTCACAGCCCATCTCCCCTTCCCCCAAGCCCCTGGTTAAAACCACTCCGGTTTCTGTCTTTCTGATTTTGCCTACTCTCATGTAAGTGAAGTCAGACAGGCCCAAACTAGCGTTTCCCTGCTACCTGAGGGCAAGTAGGGCTTTGAAGAAGCCTGCTAAAGCCTTATGGGGAAGCAAGCCTGGAAAAGCAGAAACCGGGAATAGGAAGAGTTGAAGGTCAGGTTCAACCTACAGCAGGCCCAGGAGCACCAGACCCAATTTATCCAGAAGCCAAATATACTGTTACTGCGATCCAATTAGTCCAGGCCCTTGGCTACACAGGACAGACAGGGCCTCCCAGAGACAACTGAGCCCCAGCTTGAACCTCTCAGAGCTGCTTGCAGAGAGGACTGGGCCCCTACTTTGGAAAATATTGCCGTCTCCAAACCAAATCAGTCCTCGGGAAGGTAGGAGGACCAGGCACTCCAAAACCCAAGTGGCATTGCAGTGACGACAAGAAGGGGTGGAAGTTAAGAATGCCTCTCCTGGTTGTGGGCAACACTGGGCACACGTCCTCTCCCTGCCTGCCTACCACCCACTGTCAAAAGTCGTTTTCTTTTCTTTCTTCCTTCTTTTTTTTTTTTTTTTTTTTTGAGACAGAGTCTTGCTGTGTCACCAAGGCTGGAGTGCAGTGGCATGACCACAGCTCACTGCAGCCTTGACCTCCTGGGCTCAAGCAATCCTCGCAACTCAGCCTCCCAAGTAGCTGGGACTACAGACATGTGCCACCATGCCAGCCTAATTTGTATAGTTTTTGTAGAGGCAGGGTTTTACCATGTTGTCCAAGCTGGTCTAGAACACCTGGGCTCAAGTGATCCATCTGCCTTGGCCTCCCGGAGTGCTGGGATTACAGGTGTGAGCCACTGTGCCCGGCCCTATTTATTGATTTATTTATATGAGATAGGGTGTCACTCTTGCCCAGGCTGGAGTGCAGTGGCACGATTATGGCTCACTGCAGCCTCAACCTCCTTGGCTCAAGCAATCTTCCCATCTCAGCCTCCTGGGTAGCTAGGACCATAGGCACATGCCACCATGCCTGACTAATCTTTTAAATTTTTTTATAGAGATGGGGTCTCACTATGTTGCTCAGGCTGGTCTTGAACCCCTGGCCTCAAGGGATCCTCCTGTATTGGCCTCCCAAAGAGCCGGGATCACAGGCATGAGCCACCATGCCTGGCCAAAAATGATTTTTTGAAATAGAGCTTACACTGTTCAGAAATGAGGGCTAAATTACCTCTTTCTTGCTGCTTGCGGTTCTCGATGATGCCTGGTGTGTCCACAAAAGTGACCCTCTCCAGAAGTTTGTGGGGAACCTCAATGCCAATCAGCTTCTCTAGGAAATTCTGGCCAAACTTCTCAAGGGGTGAGAAGGAGCGGGCGCTGTCAGCAGCCATGACGATGCCCTCAATGGTTTTCAGCTTGGGCCCGTGCATGAGGACCGTGAACTCAGA